TCTATTCTATTCTATTCTATTCTATTCTATTCTATTCTATTCTATTCCCTATTCTATTCCATTCTATTCTATTCCATTCCATTCCATTCCATTCCATTCCTTATTCTATTCCATTCCATTCCATTCCATTCTATTCCTATTCTTTTCTGTTTCGTTCCGTTCCATTCCATTCCATTCCATTCCATTCCATTCCATTCCATTCCATTCCATTCCATTCCACGTTCTTTCTTAAAAGCATGAAAAAAATCCATTTTCTGAATTAGGAGGGTGTGCAATCCCTTGTATAAGGAAATGGCAGCCTGTTCCTCAGGAAAGTCCTCCCTAGCTGAAGCCCACAGCTGTTACTTCACAAAATTAAGAGATGTTCTTTCTGCTCTGCTGCAAAGGACTGGAAATTCAGGAAAATTGAGATTTGGAGGGTGGAAATGCATTTGAAGGAGAGCCAAATTAAATTCTCTAGATGAGGAGGGGGGGGGGAGAGAAATGAGCTCAAGATGGTTCTACCACCACACACCCCCACCAGCATTGGTGTGAAGATGTGGGCGTTTAGGCACAGGCAGCACTGGAGAAGGAAACCGCCTCTGAAACCGAGACCCAAAGAGGAATCCCTGTAGTTGTGGCGGGAAGCGGCAAGGCCGCCGAGAACAGGGGTCTCCAACCTTGGCCACCGTAAGCCTGGAGGACTTCAACTCCCAGAATTCCCCAGCTAGCCATCGGGTTTTTTGTTTTTTTTTTGCTTACAACCCTGCTGGCTGGGGAATTCTGGGAGTTGAAGTCCACCCCTCTTCAACTTGCCATGGGTGAGAAGAACTGATCCAAAGCATCCTGGGGGGGGGGGGGGAGGAGGGAGATCCTCCAAGACACGTTGGGAATCCCAAGGGGAGGCACGGTGCCACATCTGGAAGAGGCCAGGCACACCTGGGGAAGGGAGGTCAGAAAGGACCCAGTGGGATGCAGGCAAACCCCATCCCTTGATCGGGCGCCGCAGATTGACTCCCACCTTCTCGTTTTCTCAGCTGCCCCCCACCCTTTAGGATCCCAGCGGCTGAAGCTCTGGATGCTGCGCCCAGGCCGTTGATGTTGGATGCCTTGGCTCTGCTGCGACCTCTGGCGCTCCCGTCTCCTCCCCGCCCCCAAACGGCAGAGCGAGCGAGGGCGATCCAACCGACGGCCGCGGGAGCCGAGGCGCGATCCCTGCCCCTTCCCCAACCCGCCTCAGGATCGCGGCCGCCTTGCGCTTCGCCCACCATCCCCCGACCCGGCCCCGCGCGCTCCCTCGCCCGAGCGGTAGAGCCGGGCCCTCTGCACATGCTCCGCGGCGCCCCCCCTCCATCCTCCCCTAAGGCCCGGGGAGGGGGGGGGACACACCTGGGGGCGAGGGGAGGCAAGGAAGCCAAAGGGCGTGGAGCGATCCTAAAGATGCCCTTGCGCGTCTCTTCCGGGCGCCCCCCTTCGCTGACCCCCCCCCCGAACGAGGCGCAGCTCCTTGCCAGGCGCAGCAGCCGCCCCCGCCCGCCGCTCCCAGCCGCCAGCCAGCGCCCCGTCCTTCCCTCCTTCCCTCCGGGGAGCTGCCCGCTCGGGGCTCCGGGGATGCCGGGCGCCCCTCCGCGGGGCCAGCCCCGCCGTCGCAGCGCCAAAGCCGCAGGCGGGCCGCCCACCCAGCACGCCCGCCCGCCCGGGGCTGCCCTCCCTACCCTGGGGGCCGCGCGGATCACCTGCCTGCTGGCTCTGCGGGGGCGGCGGCGGCGGCGGCGGAGGCGTTGGGCTCAGCCGCGGCTGACGGAGCGAGGAGGAGAAGAGCCGCCGCTCCCGCCGCCGCCGCCGCTGCTGCTGCTGCCCGGCCGCCCGGCTGTCATGCTCCCGCCCGCGGCTGCCGGCTCCAGGATGCAGCAGCAGCAGCAGCAGCAGCAGCAGCAGCAGCTCCGCTCCCGCCCGCCGTTCTCGCAGCTGCTCCGGCCGCCTCCGCCTCCGCCTCCTCCTCGGCCGCGCGCGGATCTGCGCGGGCACGCGGCTGGGCTCCCGCGGGAAGAGCGGGGCGGGGGGGGGGGGGACGGGTTAAGCGCGCGGGCGCGCTCCCCAGCCCGGCGGCTTCGGCGAGCCCTGCAATGCAGCCAGGGCGCATGCGCCTCCCTCTTCGAAGCCGCCCCCTCCCCACCTGCTGCTTCTCACGCTGAGGGAAAGTGGGGGAGGGGAGGGCAGCGGAGTTGGGGTCCCTCCCGGCGCCTCGGCAAAGGCCAACCCGTTCAGCGCCCCCCCCCCCCCGTTTTCGGCTTCTGGGCAGCTGCAAATCCACCGAGAGACCTCCCCATGCCCCCCTTCAGGGCCGTTTTGCCAGTATTAGGGGCTCCAGGCAAAGGAGTGTCCTGGGGCCCCTACGACAACTCCTCACAGGAATAAAAATGTCAGTGGTCGATAAGATCAGACATATATTTATTTTATTGGCACTTCCAACAAATAAATATGTAATAAATGACCTAAGTGCTAGAGCCCACTGTAACTACATAGTGAAAAACGTCGTACATTTGCTAGACCAATACTCGAATACAGCTCATCAGTCTGGAACCCACATTACGTATCTGATATTAACACAGTTGAGAAAGTCCAGAAATATTTCACAAGAAGAGTTCTCCACTCCTCTACTTGTTGCAGAATACCTTATGCCACCAGACTTGAAATTCTAGACCTAGAAAACCTTGAATTACGCGGCCTTCGGTCTGATCTAAGTATGGTATATAAAATCATACATTGCAATGTCCTACCTGTCAATGAATACTTCAGCTTCAACCATAACAACGCAAGAGCAAACAATAGATACAAACACAAGGTTAATTGCACCAAACTTGATTGCAGGAAATACGACTTCAGCAACAGAGGGGTCAATGCCTGGAATACTCTACCTGACTCTGTGGTTTCTTCCCCAAACCCCGAAAACTTCAACCTTAGACTGTCTACTATCGACCTCACCCCTTTCCTAAGAGGTCTGTAGGGAGCGTGCATAAGCGCACCAACGTGCCTACCATCCCTGTCCTATTGTTTCTTTTATTTTTCTTATATATATATCCATGTATTCATATGTTTATATTTATACCTGTTATCTTGTAAGCGATTGACAAATCAAATAAATAAATAAATGATGAGGAAGACGAACAGCTGACAGGGGGTGGGAGTGTGGCTCTGTTGGCTGTGGAGGAAATTGGGGAATGGCAAAGTCCAGCAGAGGAGGAGAGAGGTGGAACAAGGGACCCCTTCACACGCCTCTTGCAGCATCGGGTCACATTGGTCAAAATTCAGACACTGGGATTTGTGACCTTCGGACAAACCAAGTCCATGGGGAGGTCACTTCCACTTAACAAAACGGTGTTCTAACTTGACAACTGTAGTGATTCATTTAGCAAATGTGGCAAGAGTGGTCGTAAAGTGGGGCAAAGCTGAGTCGTGCTTAGGAACAGAAATTTGGAGCTCAACTGTGGTCGTAAGTTGAGGTCCACCTGTATTATATCCGAGAGGACTTTGCGGACACCGCAACGGATCTTCCCTCCCATGAGCCTTTGCCCTTTCCTGCTCCCCATCCTCCTCCTGGCCCCTTTTTTCAGGTAACTTTTGAACCTGGGAGAAAGTTCACATTTAGCCCCCAGCAAACTCCCCCCAGCCTCAGGGAGACTGAAGTAGCCAAGAGAGCACAGTACAGGTAGTCCTTGACTTACAACCACAACTGAGCCCAACATTTCTGCTGTTAAGCGAGACTTTTAAGTGAGTTTTGCTCCATTCTACCACCTCTCTTGCCACAGTTGTTTGGCGAATCACTGCAGTTGTTAAGTGAGTAACATGGTTATTAAATGAATCTGGCTCCCCAGTTGACTTCGCTTGTCTGAAGGTTGTAGAAGGGGATCATGTGGCCCTGGGACACAGTAACTGTCGTAAATGTGAATCAGTAGCCAAGTGTCTGAATTTTGATCATGGAACCTTGGAGATGCTGCAATGGTCATAAGTGTGAAAAACGGTCATAAGTCCATTTTTTTGAGCGCCACTGTAACCAAACAGTCGTTACCAGAGTCATGGTGGTGCAGTGGTTGGTATGCAGTATTGCAAGTCAATCCTGCCGACAGCCAGCAGTTCAATTCTCACCGGCTCCAGGTTGACTCAGCCTCCTATCCTTCCATGGTCAGTAAAATGAGGACCCAGATTGTTGGGGGTGACTCTATAAACCGCTTAGAGAGGTTCATAGGGAAGCACTATAAAGCGATATATAAGTCTAAGTGCTAGTGCTACTAAATGAAATGTTGTAAGTCGAGAACTACCTGCACTTTCCCTTCTCACACTCCAGAAACTTGACTTTCAGTTACTTGCTTTTTATGCTGCAATGTTCCTTATTTGAGGCCTGGGGAGTGGTCTCCAGATGTGCTGGCTTTCAGCTGTTACAATCCTCTGTCTCTGTGGTGAACAATTCTGGCAGAAGAAGCATGGGAACTGGAAGCATCTGGAGAGCATCTGGATGAATATTTGAAGCTTCTGTGCGATTCACCTTTTCACACCCTCAGATCGAGACGTGGGGCAGGCTTCCCTAAAGACTGGAAAGGAGAAGATAGAAATGGAGCTGGCTGCAAAGGACCTTTTGAAATTCTTCACCTCTTTGTTTGTGAGCAATTGGGAGATGGGTTTCTCCGGGGGAAGGAGGTATTTCTAAGGAGAAGAACTTCTCTTTAATGATAGTCGGGCCCCACAATCAAAAGTAAAGGAGGAGGGTCCCTAAGTTTATTGTTTTGGGATTTCATGGTAAGTGGGAAACCCAAGACTTCTGCAGCGTTATGGTGAGAAGGGACTCTAATAAAAGAGGAACATCACAGAACATAGAGTTGGAAGAGTCCGCAGTCCAAACCACAAGTAGGAGATGCCATTCTGAAGAAATGGCTGTCCAACCTCTTCTTCAAAATCTCCAGTGTTGGAGCAGCCACCACTTCGGGAGGGAAGCTGTCCCACTTGTTAGTTGTCCTGATTGTCAGGAAATTTCTCCTGAGTTCCAGGTTGTGGCCGCTAAAAAGACCAAAGGAGTATGGCCGCTCCCAATAAATCAGTTGACTTTTCTCTGAGATGTGGCTAGAGACTTTTGATTTGAATGAGGGTGGATTTGTTGGAGCCCTGACAGCTTGCTTCTCCTTAATTAGTTTCCATCCTTTGCTTCTTGTCCTGCCTTCATCTGCTTTGGAGAATAGCTTGACTCCCTCTTCTTTGGGGCAGCCCCTGAGATACTGGAAGATATTAGAAGATAGTGGAAGATACTGGAAGATATTGGAAGATATTGGAAGACTGCTCTCATGTCACCCCTAGTCCTTCTTTTCATTAGACTAGACAAACCCAATTCCTGCTACTGTTCTTTATATGTTTCAGCCTTTAGTCCCCTAATGATCCTTGTTGCTCAAAGTGCATGGTTTGTAAACTGTAAATAAAGCTTCCTTTGAAGCAAGTTCCAACACATAAAGGTGTCCGTTTAATTGTCTTGGCAAAATATTTTTGACTTCTCCATTTAGGTTTTCCACTTCATCTCCTTCATCTCCCATCCAAGGACCAACTAAATCAGAGGTCTCCAAACTTGGCAACTTTACGACTTGTGGACTTCAACTCCCAGAATTCCTCAGTCAGCATAGCATCTGCTGGGAGTTCTGGGAGTTGAAGTCAATAAGTCTTAAAGTTGCCAAGTTTGGAGACCTCTGATTTATGGAGCAGGAGGGTTCTTTTTCTGTCTAAACCTACATAAAATGCTAGAAACACGTAGAATGTGGATGAAAGAAAAGGACTAATGATATAAAGGAGGTTTGTTAAAATGGACAAGCAACTATTCTTATTGTTGTTATTATAGAACTAAAACCAATGTAATGAATATTGTTGTAAACATTTTGATGATTATTTCCTAAAAATATTTGTACCCAGAAAACACAGTTTAACTAAACATGGAATTTTTATATGTTATAAGATAAAATAAAAATTTATTAATAAATAAAATAAAATGCTGTCACATACAGCATACAGATGATGTATAATTATAAGTATAAAAGGGACATTTTAAAGCACTGGATAACTTTACTGTAGAATAGTGTTGCTCATCCTTAAGAGGGTGGACTGTGCTAGGGAATTCTGGGAGTTGAAGTCCACCCACCTTAAAGTTGCTGACATTGGGAAACACTGGGCAGCCATTCCATAAATTCTTCATATGCCTTTCAGCCTCCCTCAGCATGAGGCCTCTACAGGTAGTCTTCAACTTATGACAATTTATGTTGCTAAGTGAGAAAGTTGTTGAATTTGCTGCATTTTGTGTCTTTTCCTGCCACATTTGTTAAGTGAATCACTTCAGTTGTTAAATTAGTAACCTGGTTATGAATTTTCCAGAAACTGAATCTACGCAGGGGTTGTGTAGTGTCCCGTCAAGACAGTAGCTGTGGTTTTTTTTGAGGAAATGCTTGGTGCAGCCTCCATCCTGGTGGAAAATGTTGGAAAATGTTTTGTTTCAGAGACAGAAGACGGAATTCCAGCTCTTCCTATGCACCAAGCTGATCTGGCCCTTCAGAGGTTGGTGGTCCTGCAATGTTTGGAGAGTAACTTCAAGGAGTGTATTTTAGGCAATGTTAGGAATCCTTTTCTGGTAAGTTTAGATCCAGTAAACTTCTACCAGAATGGCATGAGTGGAATGTCTCAGCCTGTCGTTGGGCCCTTCTTCTCCAGACTGGAATGTTTTGCAAGACAAATTTTTCCCACAATACTTAATTTTCCCAAATGGCTTCTAAATTTGTTCTCCTTCCCTCCCTCCCTTCCTCCTCCTCCTCCTCCTCCTCCTCCTCCTCCTCCTCCTCTCTTCTCTTCAAGCACTTACGGCTTCTCCATACCATAAGAGACTTTAAAGCCGCAACATCATTGATTTCATTTCTGATTACATTTCTGTCTTACGCTACGAAAAGGGGGAGACTTATCTGGGAAAAATCAAAGGCTGGCTTGTGGACATGAAGGAAAGCGGGTGAGTGAAACCTATGTGCATGCAAAGAAAGCCAGTTCAGCAAACAACAACAACAAACAAATCAATGGAATAGAGATAGAAATAGGAATAGGATTAGGAATAGAAGAGAGGAGAAGAGAATAGGAAGAGGACAGAACAGAACAGAATTCTATATTGGCCAGGTGTGATTAGGCACAGAAGGAATTTGTCGCTGGTGCATAAGCTCTCAATATACACACATACATCAAAGTGATAGGTCATAGAATCATAGTTACAATCCTTAATCATAAGATACAAGAAGTGATAAATCATAGATAACATGGGAGAAGGTAGTAGAGAAGATGAGAAGGATAATAGTAATACAGCCTTACTACTTGGATGATTCTCTTTAGGGCTATGACAGCGCTGTGGGAGTTAGGTGTTCAGCAGAGTGATGCCCAGGAGTAAATACTACCTTTGTATCCAATTGTTTTGGCATTGCAATGCCTTATAGCAGTATCCAGAGGGGAGAAGTTGAAACATTTTATGTCTAGGATGTGAGGGCAACAGAAAGAGACCCGTTTCTTCTCCTTTGGCCTCCTGCAAACTCACCCTTGTGCTAAACATTGACCCTTGGCATTTGTGGGCCTCTTTTGTTTGTCCTAAGCAGGTATCGCACTTCGCAAAAAGCTCGCCCCGCACACACAAAAAGGCAGCCTCGTGCACAGAGCAGGGCTATGATTTGCTCTAGCGAGACGAGGGCTAAATAAATCTGCTGGAAGGGAAACAGGCTTAGCGATGTGTCTCATTAGCAGAAGGTTTGGGCCCTCTTGGCTGGCCGAAGCCGTACTGTGCCATGTCCACTGAAAGAGGCCCCTGGATGACAAGGCTGGGTATTGGGAAGGGAGGAGGGTGGAGAATGAAAGGAGCCTCTGTTCTCAGTGGATGACAGTCAACCCAGGAAGCTGGATGGGCTTGTTTATCGCTTCCCAGCAGAATGCCAGCTTTGTGATGGGGAGGCTGGCTGGGGTGAGTGAGGAGCATCGAGCCACAAGACGTTTTGCACCCAAAGACGCTTGACGGTCATCATCGCAGAGGTTTCCAGATGACCAGATCACACTGCATCCCAAGGGTGGACAATTTTAATGTTGATCGATCAGAATAAAGTTGAAAGGGACCTTGGAGGTGTTCTAGTCCAACCCCCCCTTCAGGCAGGAGACCCCATACCATTCCCGACAAACGGTTATTCGGTCCCTTCTTAAAACTCTCCAGTGATAGAGCACCCACAACTTCTGGAGGCAACTTCTGTTCCACTGCTTAATTGTTCTGGCTGTCAGGAAATATCCCCTCCGTTCTACGTTGCTTCTCTCCTTGATTAGAATTCCATCCGGTGTCCCTTGTCTTGCCCTCCGGTGCTTTGGAGACTGCGCTGCGTCCCAAGGGTGGACAATGCACTGGCCTTTCCTTGTTGCTATCTCCTAGACTCCTAGAAGGAAAGAGATTGGCAGTCCGTGGGGGTGTCCGTTCCCCCGCTTGCCCAGGAACAAACTGGAATTCAGAATGGGGTTTTTTTGCGCGTTTTATTTTTTTCAGCTGTTCAGGGTGGCTAGCAACATTGAAAACTCATGCGAATTAAAAGTTGGAAAATCCCGTTCCAAAAAAAAGGCTTGTTTAATAAAAACAAGCCGAGTTGCACGGGGGATTCTGTCAGAAACGGAACCCCCTTGCGAAATGAGTTACGTCTCTTTTGAGTTGAGTTCAAGCCTTGGTCACTTCACGGGCACAAAACTCTGGTTTCCTTGGCAACAATATATTGTGTTCTTTCAGGATGTTTTTCCGTCCGGCTGACTGCGCTGGGGGTTTTCTGGGATTCTCCCCTCCCCCATTCAAATAATTACCAAGCCGGTCTTGCTTGGGCAAAGTTCACTATAGGCCTGGCCTTCTGCTGAAGGATTTACACCCGTCTCAATAACCTCAAATCCAGAACAGAAATGGCAAAGTGTCCTTCGTTGCAACAGTTAGGACACAGGGAAGGGCCTTCCCATCAAAACTTTTCAAAGCGTGTGAATCCAGCCTGTTCGGTGTTGCTAGTAATAGAAAGCCTTTACCCAGAGACACCTGGATCCAGCTGGTTACCTTTTAACAGAATAACAGAATTGGAAGGGACCTTGGAGGTCTTCTAGTCCAACCCCTGGCCTATGCCATTCTGGACAAATGGTTGCCCGGTTTCTTCTTAAAAACCTCCGATGTTGGAGCTCCCACAACTCCTGGAGAGGAGATGTTCCACTGATTGATTGTTCTCACCGTCAGAAAATTTCTCCTTCTTGGTTTTATTTCCGTATCCCTTTTAAAATGCGAAAGGAGCTCCTCCCTCCTTTCCCTTCAGGGATGCTGCTTGTAGGTAAAAGGGAAAAAAAAGGAAACAAGTTGTCATATA